TATCTATGAAAAGTAATCACTGGCAGAATCACTGCACTAAGGTTGCACATCTCTAAACGACAGGGCGTTCATGAACCATAACTGACGAGAAATCGTATTAATGCAAGATGCAAGGAGATTTTCATAAGAACTGCAATTATAACTATATAAACAGACTAGCATTTGGAATTTTTTTTCACAGCTTTTTATTCAAATCTAAAGCGTCGGACGTTTTGTACTCGCTCCCAACTTACGAGGAGAGATTTTTTTCCCAGTTGTCCAGTGTCTTAATAGAGGAGTTTTGCAGCTGTTACACAGAACCCCATCGAAGCTTGACGTGTCAACGCGCAAGCCAAAACACGAAACATAATCACTCATGGACCACAAACCGCGCAAAATTGTGAATGATCTGCGCCTTATTAGCTTTGAGACCAATCTCGCATATTACAAAAAAGACTTTGTCTTATCTGCACTCCACAAAGATAGAACAGATGACTAAGACGATGGTCGACGATGCTAATTTTTAAAAGAGGCGCCATTTTTCTTTGCTGCATTCGCTGCGATCCAATACCACCACAAACTTCCGTCCAGCGGCTCGCGCATATTCGCAACGTTACCACTTGCCGTTTCCTGTAGGCTGCTAACTTATTGATCAGAAAAATATGCTATTCCAGCATCACAAGCTTTCTCATGGAAATAGAAGACCGAACGGTTGGGCTACAAGGCCTTACAAAATTGAAGTTCACTTTTTTTTTTTGGCTTGCTCACTTACTAGATATAAATACAGCTGAATGAAACCATCTGGGTTTCACTAAAAATTCAGCACCTGATAAATTAACGAGTAAATGCAGGTCTATATCTTCTTGAAGGACCGCGAAAACAGAAAACGCACTAGCGTGAAAGTTTCTCGGTTTCTAACTACAACTCTCAAATCCCTTCAAAATCTCCGATTTCAACCTGCTCCACAAAATCGCCACTCATAAAAGGAACCCTTTCCTACCTCATAAGAATATTCCCCAAACTTTGGCGAAACTTCACCCGTGATCGACATTTTCGTCGAACGCGTATAGTGGGGCCTACTACCGGAACCGGAAACGAGAAGCGAAGGACTTTGAGAAAGTATCTCACACGCTCAAGCGCTAGAAAAAAAAAAAAAAAAAGAATCTCCCGCCTTGGCTGTAAATATGGGAATCAATTCAAAGCGACGCGTTTCTATAAGAAACCGATTGTTATATCTTTAGCACTTTTTTTTATTTGCAGCATCGACCAGTATATCTCCCAGTCAGGCAACCCTGACACAAGAGCCTACGGCTCTGAGCTTATCAGCACTTTAGTGATCAAGACGCCTACCCCAACTGAAATTTTAACTGTAGGAATTGTTTCTTCAAAAAAAGGCCAACATTTGCGCTGAACTGAGGAAACCAGTTGAAGATACAGTTTACAGAAAATTGTTGAGCAAGAGGGCGGACGATATAGGTTATGTTTATTTTGTCGGGATGCCTTTTGGCGCCTGAACTATCTACGAACTCTTCTTTGACATTTATTAAGACTGGAAAATCAGGAAACCCTCAGGTGCGACTTGTTACACTTCAAACAGAAAATCCTTTTACGCCGACACTGAAAGGCTCTATTTCAGTCACCAATATGGGGCAGGCGGAAGGTATAGCCCATATGGTAGCCGAAGACAATCACTACCGTGGTGAGTGGTACCGCTTTTCAAGTTCTGCCGCAGCTCAACTGATGATAAGACGGATTAGGGAAACATTAGATACATATAAATTGATTCGCAAGATAAAAAAGAGCAATATAATTTGAGTGTACTTGTATACTTAACAATATTCAAGTCGCATTGGTAAGGCCGGTAAGGCATTTTAATCATTGTAAATTAAATGTTTTGTGATCCATAATGGTACAACTTCCTAATCAAAGCTCTATTCATAGTTTCATCGCGCACCACCAGCAGTTATTTTAATACAGAAGTTAAACAATCTAAATATAATATTATTCTCAGTACCGGAAGTAAAGTAAGGATCGATATTTTAATAACAATACATATCCCACAATTCCTAGCGTTGTATATATTACCACCATTCTGCCTATTGTGTGCATTTGTCTAATAACATCTCAGAGGGCGGTCAACTTTCCTCAGCTTCGTCGAACACGCGTCATGGCCGAACCTCCACCTTCTTTTCAAAGCAACCCCGCAGAATGTTCGTCCTCAAGCCATTTTAAACGAACTTCGAAGACGTTCCTGTTCCAAATGCCTCCACTTTAGTTCCCGTTGGAACGGGCGTCGATAAAACCCGGAACATGGAACATTCCGGAACATGCCGGAACATTCCGGAACATGAAAAAATAAACATAATTTTCACAAAAAAATATATATAATAAAATAATAATAATAAAAGAATTTTTGTAAAAAAAAAAACGAAAAATAATGAAATAATCAAGAAAAAGAAACTGGTATCCTCTCTGAGTATGAGAAAACAATATTTTGTCGCAACAAATTAAAATTTGTTGGGCGAGTGAGGGTTCATGCAAATGACAGTAATGAGTGAAGGCTTGCTTCTAAATTCAAACTATATTAAAATGGGTCGCGAGGAGAGGGGTTTTCAAGCTTTCCTCACACAGCCACCTCTTGTAATTGTTTGCCATAAGTTGATCATTTCGGTTCTGCAATGGTCTGAAATGTCGGTGCAGTATTTCATGCCAAGCCAAGTCGGTAAGTAGCTCATTTCAAGCCGACATATAGTCTCCTTATATATATTAACCGACATTTGCTTACTTGGGGTGCTTTGCTTCACGCGAGGTTGACATGAATTACTTACAGACTAGGCGGCTCTGTGAACTTAAGAAGAGTATAAGGGCTCCTGTCTTTGGATTTTAGTGGACACTACTCACATTCGTAGTAGTTTCTATACTGTTTACAGTCAGCATGATATTTCAGACGTCTCCTCGGGTCGCAAGAGGAGTTCGCGCGGAGACGGCTAAAATTCAGGCTAACTGATAACAGTTAGAAACTATCGCTGCGCTACCACTGCCACTGCAACGTGAATCTTTAATTTAATTATCCAAGTCCCCAGCGACGAGCCCCTAAGCTCTTCTTACGGTCGCAAAGCCGTAAATGGATAACCGTTAAACCGCATGGCAAACATTTACAAGAGGTGGCTGTGTGAGGAAAGCTTGAAAACCCCCTCCTCGCGACCCATTTAAATATATTTTGAATTATTGAAGCAAGCCTTCACTCATTACTGTCATTTGAATGGACCCTCACTCGCCCAAAAAATTCATTGTGACAAAATATTGTTTTTTCATACTCGGAGATGATACCAGTTTCTTTTTCTTTCTTTCATTGTTTGTTTCTTTTTTTTTTCGTTTTTATGTTATGTTATGTTATTTAGTTTGTTATTATAAATTTTTGCAAAAATTGTTTTCTATCTATTGTTCTTTTTATTATTTATTATTATTATTATTATTATTATTTAATTAATTAATTATTTTTTCATAAAAAAAAGATATTTTAATTTTTTCATGTTCCGGGATGTTCCATGTTCCGGGTTTTATCGACGCCCCGTTGGAACTTAGTCCCGGCTACTAATACATTGCGTAGCAGGCGTTAAAGGGGTGGTGGTTTGGGGAGGGGGAGGGTGGGGTAAGAAAGAAAAGAAGGAGGGAGGAAAAAAGGAGAGGGAAGGATTAGGTAGAGAGAGTCCAGTTGTGACTCCAAGACATGACAATGTTAACTAAGAAAAACATCATCGAAATTTCAGAAGGATGGGATTGGTCAATTACATATTTTTTAAAGGTAAAAAACCCTGTTTTCCTTTAAAATCACTATTTTTTTAACTTTTGAAATTTGCATTCTTTGGCGTCCTACCTTTATGGAGTTATTGTGAAATTACACTGAGAGTAGGATGAGATGTTAAAATTGGTATCCACTTGACAGTGGCGATAGTGGGCGAGTTTGTGCGAGATAATGCGAGCTTAGGCAAGTTAAGGCGAGATAAGGAAATTTGAACATAATCTCAAGTTGCGAGTTAGGGCTAGTTAAGGCGACTTAAGGTCCCAGATGTAGCCCTAGAAAATACCATAACATACCATAATGCTCTATGTTTGTCACCCCAAATTTTGCAGAAGCATTGTTTCAGTTTCTCTTGGGAATTAAAATGGCCCCAGGAGAAACTGAAGACAATGCTTACGCAAAACTTTGGGGTGACAAACAAAGAGCATTATGGTATGTTATGGTATTTTCTGGAGGAGTCAATTTCTGTCACTTGTAACCATCGTTAAATAAAGTCGCTTGTCTTGTCTCATTTCGTTTCAGCTGAGTGTCAACATCCCGAGGGGAGTCTCAACAAAATTTTTAAACGGGGGTAAAACCCCTTACCCTTTCATATACCTTTTTTTTTACAGAAAAAGTACTCCTTTCGTTTACCTTCTATTGACAAATGTTACCCCCTAGGATCCATTTTAGCTGCTGTAATGCACCGTCTTTGAAACATGAATAAATAACTGAAGGAGGAAGTTTTCTTTTCTTTTTCACAACCATAAAATGAGTCTGTTAGCCCTTTTAAGTCCTCTCACAGACCGCAATGACAGATTTCCTTACCCTTTATACACTTTAATAGACCTATTCGGCTAACTCCATGTTGTACCCAATTCAAATCTCCGGGGGATAATATTCTTTGTGTATTGTATTTGCATTATAATGTGGCATTCACATTTAAATGATATGGAAATTCCTGAAACAAAACGTTTTATTCCCAAAGGGTTTGAATTGGGTACAACATTGAGTTAGCCGAATAGGTCTATTGGCGATATCCCTACCCTTTCATATACCCGAAGCCTGAAAAAGCTACCCCCTTCGGGCGGAACCTCCCTTTATAAGCCATTATATGGAGTACCCCAAGGGGGGTTCACATATTATTGCCCGTATATAGAAATTTTTGTACCAGCTAAGCTATCAAGAGTATTGGAGAGCTGTATCTTTAACTATTCTTTTTTCGCTGGCTTTTTATTTCAGATACAGTATAGTTCCTGCTCAAGAAAAATGTTCCATCTGCTCATATCCTCTTCTCACAAGAGGCTTCTATGTCTTCCCATGTCACCATGCTTTCCACTGCGATTGTCTAAAAAATGAAGTGCGACTGTTAAGATTATTTTTATGATTATTTTTAAAAGTTTATATTTACAATTTATTTTTCAAAAAATGGTGTGTGTAATTTTGTTTTTATTTTTTCTCCTTCTTTTTTCAGATTTTACCCAATCTTAAAGAGAAACAAAGGTGTAAATTTTTCTGTTATCGTTTTTTCTCTATGCTGCTCTCTACCTTTGTGGCCCTGGTTGTCGTTGAATTGGTTCGTTATAAACCCGTGAAAGGATGGTGATGAAGTTATAAATATATCAAAATCATATATGTGAACTGCGGGTTGAGGAATTATATGAAGTAGTAGATCATCGTAGTTATGGAAGCAACTTTTGCTGTTGCGAAAAGAAAGACTGAAAAAAGTTCAGGCTTGTACGGGATTCGAATACCTCTGCGATACTGGTGCAGCGCTCTTACCAGTTGAGATAACTGATAATTGGTTTTTCCTAATACGTAATCAATGGGTAGTGATTTATCCTGCGGATAGTCCTATCCACCTTTCTAACAAGTGTCTCATTTATGAATCGGTTATATGGCCCAGCTCAGCCTTCGCAGCTCAGTAGTCAGCTGGTCAGACCAGCATCTGGAATTTCACTGATTCTGTATCTCTGGCTTCCTCGTAGATTACAACCAAATTCTTGTTTCTCCGTCTGCGAAGCACAGAAATCATTAGTTCCATGAGCAGGACTTTATTAAAATGACAAGTAAATGTGTCTTTTTATGCTGGTCATTTTACCGCCATGCAGCTTGAATTTGCAGAGCAAAGGTTCAAGATCTGTTTAATCAGCTGTACAGGACACCAAGATCTGACTCCGCCACAGCTACACCAGCATCAAGAGAGTCTCTCAAGGTAAGATAAATCCTATATGCATACCGAGTTTTTTTCAAGTTTATAATTATTATTTTTCTTATTCCTGAGATTTCTCGTGAAACTGAGATACTAGGAACGAATTAATGGGGTGTTCCTGTCTGTTTAAGGTTTCCATTTATTTAGGTATTTAGAACATTACTATTACACGACATGATCATCGATGAATACCACCTTATCATGTCGAGAGCTCAATAAGCTAACGAGAACAAGTCTCACGGATACTAAACAACTCAAGCTCTTTTCCTCGAAAAGTCAATGGGTGGGGGTGTCTGTACAGAGGTGTCCGCGTGATGGACAGCAAATAAATGACCAAAGAACAGAGTTTACGGAGTTGTCTTTTGTTGACTGCAGTTCGAGTAGTCAGTTTTATCTTACAGAGACCTGTGTTAAGCACTTATTAGATGGGTCAGTTACATATAACGCTGACTAAACTTAGTTTGTTATGTATTTTTAGAATGAACTGGATGACCTAATAGCATCTGAATGTCTTTATTGCGGGGAAATTATGATCAGGTAAGGGAATCCTAACATCGTTACACCAGTCGACTGTGCCAGAGGATTTAGATAGATAGATAGTTTAGATAGATAGTTTATTAAAATATCGAACATGGCAGTCCGCAGACTGAATTGCGTTACAAATACTTAAAACTAAGATTAAATAAATTCCAAAATTATAAATACTAATTGAAATTATAACAAAAAACATTTCTATAACAATGCGAAAAACTCTCTCTATATAACTAGGTACAAACTAGTCCAAAAAATTATGTACACATACTTGGAATAAAAGTGTTCTTAAAACGATTTGTATGTGTGCGGGGCATGGCATAAGCCCTGGACTGTCTTAGATTATGTCTGTGTTCTCTCTTAGGATTTGTGTAAGCTCGTTGAACATAATAAATGACGTCCACACATCTACAAAAAAATACTGAAAACTTATGAGATCAAAGATGTATAGTTTTTTTCTTAACAGCAACATCTTTCCTCTTCCTTTTCTTCGTTTCGCGGAGCCAGAAAACGAAAGATTGAAAAGCACAGCCATTTCTAGTCTTTATGGTTTAAGATTGCATCCGAAAATGGGAAGATAATCACACATTTAGATAGCGGGCAAGGTTTTTCCTTAATCCTAAAGGACGCGAGAGAAAAGACTTCCCTTTCTGACCTTGTTTTCACTGGAAAAGAACCTCGGAATACATGCAGGTACCAGTGTGGCATAACTATGAAGGTCAAGTAACGTTTAGTTTCAACCAACCAACCAATCAATCAATCAATCAATCAGTCAATCAATCAAACTTTATATAACGAGTGTGATACGTTCTAGGGGAAAAAACATCATGAACTTGTGGCCCTCAAGTTTGTGATGTATGTCTTCCGTTCGTTTCAGGACCATTGACCAGCCCTTTATTTTGCCTGAGGAATATAACAGTGTTCTTGAAAGCTGGATGTGATTATCAAAGGTCAGCCATAGTTGTTCAAGAATCATCTTTGAATGTTGGACATTTTTACAGCAGCTACCAAGATTTTTTTGTCTATTTCTGTTTGACGTAATTCGCCCTGATTTTCAGGCACAAGAAACGAAAACTTGGATGGAATCTGGATGTAGAAAAAGTTGTGGTAACATGTCAACAGCGTGGAAATAGCCTTTTGTGGGCTTAAGTAAATTAAACAACAGAGGCCGTTCTCCTCACTCACTGCAAATGCTGCTCGTTTATGACAAAACGTGTGGCGGTCGTTGGATACACTCTCGACCCGAGACATGCGCAAAAACAAGAGGAGCTTTGGGGTTGCGAATTACTTAGGAAGTATTACACATCCTACGAACTATGCAAACGCAACCGTCATAGTCAATATGCATATGTTTCTGCAAAAAAAAGTTACGTGCCGCAGTACATGATCTTCATGAAGCTAGAAAGAACAGGGCTGATACACACTACTGGGAGGACAGTAGTCTAAAATAAATAAAAAAAAATACAAGGGGCCTCCAGTTGGCGTTAAGATTTAATAGATGATGGCCTTTTATGATTTATGAATGAACGAAATGTATTTTTAGAATCTTTGGCAGACTTTGTATATTTCCCTTCAAGATAAAAACATTAAATACATGGTATAGTTGATCATGTCGGAACGCGTAACTGTGTTGGAAAGGGAAAGCGCATTCAAAAGCGAACAAGACCGTTAAAAAATCGTGGAAACCAAGTCCCTTCCCCTGCAGTTTTCGCTGCGTTCTTACGTCGAACGCACCTACTTCTAGTCTCAGCTTTATGCATACAGGGTTGCCATGCTTTCCTAATACCATTTGACGACATTTTGATCGTAAGTCACGTGACTTTGCCTAAACATAGGCACGTTCAACGTGCATGAGCTATTTTGAATGCTTCAGTGTAACTATAATACTTCGGTGTAACCTTACCAAGAGTGATGAATCTACCTTTTTCATCCTAAATGTAGATTTGGTTTTTGTGCGAAATTGGGTATTGCGCCACATAAATGACAACGCGAAACGCTCGGCTGAGTCGATCCTCAACCTATGTATTCACTTTCCTCTGTCTTTCCCAGTTACATCTGGTGCAAGTTAAACAAATTGCTAAAGTAAAATAAATTTCTACTCACCAAACGTTGATTAGAAGGAAAACTCTAAGGTTTCCTCGGAGTTTCTTAAGCCAAAATGTGACTCATCGAATACTGAATAGTTACGAAATACCAGGATTTTTATCATTGAGGTAGGTGGTTGCGTCATCATAATTCACGAGGTTTTCACGTGCGATTCTACTCAGTGAAACAGTCTTTAACTCCGACAACTTATTTCTTCATGTTTTAAAAGCTATTGCTTCTTAAAAGGCAAGAGCCTTTTTTAAGGCATTGGTTACAAAACGAAACAGGTCTTCATACGTCCAAGTTACTATTTATCATTGTGAAAAACCAATCTGCATGAGATGTACAGTCACACAGCTGGCACGTGAAAGTGTTGGACTTTGTCCCCTTTCGTGGTTCGTACGTGAGGGAATTCGAGTTATCACACAATAAACTAGTAAACAGAATTATAAAAATAACTCTTGCACACAATTTGCACGTGAAGATGTTGGCCTTTGGCCCTTTTACAATTCGTACGTTAAAAAAAAGGCAAATTGTTTACTACAAAATTTTCTCAAGCGATTTTAAGAAATCACCTCGGCTTCATTACAACATCTGCAATTAAATTATGTTCCATGCAACGTCAAGGTTGATAACCTAACATTTATTAACATTTGTGAGACAGTCTTTAACTCCGACAACTTATTTCTTCATGTTTTAAAAGCTATTGCTTCTTAAAAGACAAGAGCCTTTTTTAGGGCATTGGTTACTAAACGAAACAGGTCTTTATACGTTCAAGTCACTATTACTATTGTGAAAAGCCAATCTGCATGAGATGTAGTCACACAGATGGCACGTGAAAGTGTTGGACTTTGCCCCCTTCCGTGGTTCGTACGTGAGGGAATTCGAGTATCACACAGTAATCGTGTAAACAGAATTATAAAAATAACTCATGCACACGATTTGCACGTGAAGATGTTGGTCTTTGGCCCTTTTACAATTCGTACTTTAAAAAAACGCAAATTGTTTACTACAAAATTTTCTCAAGCGATTTTAAGAAATCACCTCGGCCTTATTACAACATCTGCAATTAAATTATGTTTCATGCAACGTCAAGGTTGATAGCCTAACATTTATTAACTTCCAAGAAAATTATCAAACTGCCGAAATATATTTCTGCTCATATCATGTTACTCCACTCAATAAAGCAGTACCTAATTATTGTGTCAACTAGCTTCTTCCAATTTTATTCGCTAACGCTACTGTTTCTACTTAAGTTTATACGCATCTTTACTAAATAAAATACGTTTCAATAACTATAATGCTTAATACGCAGGAAGGATGTATCATGTTGTTCACTTATTATTCCTTTTTGTTGTTGTTTTGCCGGAACGAAAAAGGTCTGTTGAACTTTGTAAGCGAGAGAATAATATTTCTACAGCTTGTTTACAGGATTAACAATACTCGGTACAGCTTTTAAAAAAATAAGCTGCTTTTCAAACTTCTAAAACCACATTTTATAGGCCGCATACTTTCGAATTAAAGTCCATATCTAAATATCAATTATTGCTTCACTGGAAGAGCTTTGAAAATATATGATCGTTTATACTCTACCTTGAAGCAGGTGAAACACAACTCATAAATACGTGCGTGGTACCGTTCGCGATAGCCGAATTCGGTCAGAAATGTCTTGAAGTAGCATCCACACTAAAATATGAACCCTTAAACAGCTGCATCACTGTACACAGCGTTTGAATCATGAAGATATTTAATATAATGTTTCCAAACACCTGTAGCCGTAATAAAAGACGAACAAATTGTAAAGAATCAAGATGGCGGTCTTAAAGTGCCCTTGTTCGACCTTTAGCAATGTGATTTTTAAGTAGATGCCAAGATCTCATTGGTTCCTTAGCATCAACTCATAGTACCTTCAACCTTATTGGCTCTTGCAACAAACATCCAAACATACAAAGTTACAAAGTTACAAAGATACAAAGCCACAAAGATACATACGCTCACACCACTGACATATGAGCTATTTTTTCAAAATAGCTCAATAAAGGAACAGTTCGTCAAATGGTTGCGGTAATGAACTTTACCCAACAGGACGGGAAAGAAAAGAAGATGACAAACCTGGTGTGACAAACGGGACAATAATTATACTTGTAAAACGTTCTACCAAACTTCACCTTAATTTTAACAGATCTTTTTGTAAAAGACTAGAAAACATTGATGTTAAATGAAGATCACGACAAAACACAAAGGTAATAGTCCTGACACATTTCCGGTCACGCACAAGCGTTCTGCCCGTGTCCTGGCGGGCCCCGGTTGTTCAAAAATTGGATAGCGCTATCCACCGGATAAATCGCTATCCAGCGGATAAGTAGTACAAAAACCAATTGTGTTATCCACTGGATAGTGACTTATTTTGAACAACCGGGGCCTGTGGCGTAAATTCACTAATTGTGAAGAGCAAACTGCTTGCTAAGTTTCACAAAGATCTGGAAAAGGTTTCTACTTGAATCACTGGACTAGTGGTTGGTCCTCGCTTTGAAAATAAGTAAAATCCAACTAGTGGACTACATTGTATTATCAATGCTGCGTTCTGATTGGTTGAGCTGCTACAAGGCTATATTTTATAGCCCACTTTGTAGCAAAAAGCGGCGGCTTTTTGGTGGCAAAAAAAGGATTAAAGTCTAGCTTTAACCAGCTTAAGTTGTTTTGTCTCGATATTTTTGACCAGCTAATTGGATTTTACTAAAACAATTATCCCTCTCGCCCTCATGCCCTCTGAGTCAATAGCTCATTCGGCCTTGGGCCTCGTGGGCTATTGACTCAAAGCCCATTCGGGCTCGAGGAATAATTGTTAAATATCTGTATACCTAACCAATTTAGGGGGAAAAAAATAAGTTTTTGTCGTACCCTCTCTGCACATTAAAAAGTAACGTAGTCCCTACTCCAATCTGCTTATGAAACGAATAGACAAACTCTTAAACAGTTGTTTAAAACAGAGTTCACTTCCAGCGCAGTACTCAAACGATTGGAGCTAATATTTAGTGAGAAAATTTCAGGAAAAGATCAAATAATTATGTTATTTACCTAGGTCGGTTCGTACCCCTATATCAAAGTTTAGTATGGAAGCGAAGTCAAGATTTGTAATGTAAAGTTTATTGTTTCAAGTTAATAGTCAGTATTTAAAAGGAGCTGGACATTTAGGCTCTGGACCTAAAATTTATTTTGTATTCACCTTTAAAGAGCAAGAAACCGTTCACCTTGCACACGGTGACTAGTCCTATTCATGGTATATCGGTAAGGGGATATAACCGTTCCGAAATTTTTTGCATAAAAAGAGCAGAAGGATCAGCTTTGACAATCGCTTTAATCTCCTTAAGGATACTGCTTTTTCTAAGGAAACAAGAATATGAATGAAAAATCGCTGAAAGAATGTAAAGAATAAATTTTTTAATAGTTGAACCTTTTAAAGGGTGCTTGTATAATTAACTAGAAACTTTATCACAGAATTTTCTCCTTGCCACCAGCAATGATCATATCTTAATGGACAGTTTCTACAAAACTATAAAAATAATAAAATAATTCCTGTTCTGTAGGCTGCTGACAGGGCTATTAAATTGATAAGAAAAATATGCTATTCCAATATTACAAGCTTTCTCAAGGAAATAGAAACTGGACGGTTGTGCAAGGAAATTGAACTTCACTTTTTGCTTTGACTAGTTCGCTTACTAAATATAAATACAGTCTAAATGTAAACCACAGGCTGCAAAAATTCAGGACTTGACTCACGAAAAAAAGCAGGTCTAAATCTTCTTGAAGGACCACGAAAATAAAAAAATGTAAATAGATGAAACACTAAAAATAC